CTAATAATTTCCCAGAGTATCTAACAATGGAAAAGATTTTCTCGTGGTGACTGTTAATGGTATGTCAGGAGTGGATGTAAGCCTGCCTGGGTGGCTGGCCATTAGAGACTCAGTAAAGGACTCCTATGTTTGGAGGCAGATCTCTTCCGTTATAACAGATTCTACCACTCTGCTCTAATAAAGCGAGAACAGGAACGCTGTCGTTCTCTCTCATCTCTGTCTTATTGGCATAAAAGTGAAGTAAAATGAAAGTGAAACTAATATACTAGATAAAACCTGTTGATGCCGTAAAAATATCATAAGGGACAGCTTAATGCTAGTTAACTAAATTATTCTGATAGTCTGATATGCTGTGAGTTCCAGCCCGGTGACCCTTCATTTTTACAAAATGGAGAAACTCTAGGTTATAGTTAATAGTACTAAGCTTGCTTTGGTTTTGTATTTTTTGTTTGTTTGTTTTGTTTTTAACACTAAGGTTTCTCAACTAGCATTAAAGTACTAAAGGAAAAGTGTTATGAAATTTCCTGCACGAGTTACTGGATCTCATGTAAACGCAATACATGAAGTATTAAGGTGAAACCAAAAGGAAGAAAACATATGCCTTTTAGCTCCTGGAGAAGAGACATACTCTTTGACTGCCCTTTGAGTTTGGGAGTTTTACCCAATTTCTCCTGAGCAAAGCTTCCTTGGAGTTTAGGAAAACTTGTTTGAGACTGGAGTAGAAAGATGAAAATGGCATTTGCAATGGGGTTGAACTCAGTATGAAAACCACACATCCTGTTACTCCAGCCTTGGAGGATGTATTGAAATCAGCATCAGCAAACATGGAGCATTTGTCAAGAATCTACAACGGTTTTTCTCAAATAACAGAAGCAACTGATTGGCTATGTGTTATTCTTTACATCATGAATTCTGCAATCATTGCATTAAAGAAAGGGCAGAGTCACTGGAAATCATTTGTGGTGTCTGTTTACTGTAAAGTAAGAATCTCTGGACAGGGGACTAGCAGGTGGCATGGTGGTTAAGGCGCTGGATGCTCTCACTCGGCTGATCACAGTTCAAATCCTGGACCTGGTGGCTCGCTTTCTCACTTTTCCTCTCTTTCTCTCTCTCTCTCTCTCTGTATGTCTCTCCCTGGTCAAATAAAAAGTGAATAACTAAATAAAATAAAATAATTCTTAATAAAAAATAAAAGACTCTTTGGACAATAACCCCACTGGGTGTGGGGCATAATTGGGGCTTTGTGCTAAAGCATCTTTCAGGGTTTTAGCCAACCTTACATTTCATAGACTATTCTGAACTTCATTTCTTTCTCGCCTGGACCTAAAGGGACATCTCAGGGGAGACCAAAGATGTCCTCCATGATATTGTTGTGTCAAAAGGGGATGACTCTGGAGGCAGACTTTCTGGATTTAAATCCTGGAACTGCCTCTTACTAACTGTGTGAATTTAGGTGAGGATTCAATTTTTTTGGGTTCAGTTTCTTCTGAAAAAAAGAGATATTAAGAGTAATTTAGAGAATTATGAGGATTAAAATAGTGCATATCAGGTTTTCAGCACAGGCTTTTCTCATATTATAGAATAAACATCACCGGGAATCCTCCCTAGCAGCAGGAAGCAGATGGTACTAGGCGCTTTTGTCCTGACTGGGTAAGAACAGGTGCACTGTCTTGTTACCATGCTCCTCTTTTCTCTAATCCCTGTCCCTTCCGCCTTCACCCTTGATCCTTCTCTTTCCTAACTGGGGTCTTTTCTGAGAGTTCAGAGCTTTGCCTTGAGTTTGAGGAAAGGAAACACATAAAAGAGTAACTTATTCTTTTTTTTCCCTAAATTCTTTTTTTTTTTTTTTTGAGAGGTTTTTGCTATAGGGTGCGTGCACTCGCCAGAAAGACAGAGACAGAAAGTGAGAAATCATCCCCCAAGAGGAATGGCACAATCATGCCACAATCCCTTCTTCTCCATTCTCTTCTTAGGATCTTGGGCACACATGCACACACACCCTGCATGAGTTTAAGCCACCAGGTGCGGGACTCAAACCACGGTCAGCTACATGGAAATCCAGTGACATGGCCATTACACCAACTGGTGGTCAACTGACTTTTTAAAGGGTTTTTCAACCTGGTAATCCTATCATGATAGAACATTGCAATAGGATCCTGTAAGGGTATTCGTGGGCTTTCATTTATGTGTGTGTTGGGAAGGTGGTAACGGGAATGATGGTTGTGGTAATGGAGAATGTGAATTCTGAGCTCTGCATGCAACACCTTGACTGCCATTCCACCTTGATTTTAGAGGGAATTCCAGAAACTTTTGAGCTTCCAAAGCTGAAATACATTGTATGCATTCATTGTTACCATGGCTCTTTGTGAACTCTGAACAGTAAATACATGAACAGCTTTTAACTGAATTTCTAATTGCAATAGTTTGTGAGTAGAGGCTAATTCCATTTATTTTGGCTTACTCCTAATAAAGTGATTTCCCTCCTTTTCACCATCCATTTTTCTTTTATTTTTGAAAGGACGATTACACCACCAAGGCTGTAGCTGTCCAGTTGTGCAGGGCATTTAATACCTGATCACGCATTTTGGCTCCAACCTGCTGTCTGTTTAGCCATTAGCCATGTCCTGGTAGCATCTGCCTGGAGAAGGAAAGCCTTCTTCCTAAGTCTCAGAGCAGTTCAGTGTGGATGATGCAATCCTCTCCCTTTAGCCAGCAGATGCTCTCCCTCTCAGAGAGTAGTGCAGAAGCACATGCAGGATATTGGAATGCACCACCCAGCTGAGCTCAAGCATCTATTGCACAGCGCTGCCAATCCCTCAATGTACTTGCCAACCCATCCACTCCCTCTCCTTTTCCTTATCCTTGAAGTGAAGTATATTTTAGGCCCAGGTGCGGGAACTACTGTGAATCAAACCCATCCAGTCACTTCTTTGGAACTTTGATGACTCGAAACAAGAATTAAACAAAACTAGAAAATATTTTAAAAGCAATGTTTAATGAGTACACATTTATAAAAGCTATCAAAAGTGGGAAAATGGTACAAAAATAAAACTTTATAAAAATGTTCTTAGAATACAGAAACTATACCAGCAGAAAACAGTTTAACCTTTAAAATGCTGAACAGTTTAGATCTATAAAAGGAATATAGGTAACTGAAAGCACCTATTCTTATTGGTTCTAAACTCCTTTCCATCTTAAACGAACTGAAAAAGTCAGCTGTGTTAAGAGGGTCAAGTTGCTGGATGGAGGAGGGAGGCGTGTTGGAAAGTATGGAAGAACATTGGTTTTCTTTGGTCAGCTGGTTATACTTAGAGCTCTTGTGGTTGGAGTTTGACAACCAACCAAAAGTTAGGCCTGGCAATGCAGCTATTAGGCCCAAACCACCAGGGTACTCTTTAACTTCAGCCTTGATGAATGTCTTTCATTTATTTTATTTTATGTTTTTGAAGGCATGTGCATGAGAGATATTCGTGAGTTTTACCATGTTGTGGGCCTCCTGGCTAACTAGGATCACAGGCTAAGGTGACAGATGGCTTTCATTAGGTATACAGATAGAGCATCTCCACTAAGCTGTGACAGTAGAGTTTGTTCTTACTACACATAAGTATTTTGCTATAGGGTGCGTGCACTCGCCAGAAAGACAGAGACAGAAAGTGAGAAATCATCCCCCAAGAGGAATGGCACAATCATGCCACAATCCCTTCTTCTCCATTCTCTTCTTAGGATCTTGGGCACACATGCACACACACCCTGCATGAGTTTAAGCCACCAGGTGCGGGACTCAAACCACGGTCAGCTACATGGAAATCCAGTGACATGGCCATTACACCAACTGGTGGTCAACTGACTTTTTAAAGGGTTTTTCAACCTGGTAATCCTATCATGATAGAACATTGCAATAGGATCCTGTAAGGGTATTCGTGGGCTTTCATTTATGTGTGTGTTGGGAAGGTGGTAACGGGAATGATGGTTGTGGTAATGGAGAATGTGAATTCTGAGCTCTGCATGCAACACCTTGACTGCCATTCCACCTTGATTTTAGAGGGAATTCCAGAAACTTTTGAGCTTCCAAAGCTGAAATACATTGTATGCATTCATTGTTACCATGGCTCTTTGTGAACTCTGAACAGTAAATACATGAACAGCTTTTAACTGAATTTCTAATTGCAATAGTTTGTGAGTAGAGGCTAATTCCATTTATTTTGGCTTACTCCTAATAAAGTGATTTCCCTCCTTTTCACCATCCATTTTTCTTTTATTTTTGAAAGGACGATTACACCACCAAGGCTGTAGCTGTCCAGTTGTGCAGGGCATTTAATACCTGATCACGCATTTTGGCTCCAACCTGCTGTCTGTTTAGCCATTAGCCATGTCCTGGTAGCATCTGCCTGGAGAAGGAAAGCCTTCTTCCTAAGTCTCAGAGCAGTTCAGTGTGGATGATGCAATCCTCTCCCTTTAGCCAGCAGATGCTCTCCCTCTCAGAGAGTAGTGCAGAAGCACATGCAGGATATTGGAATGCACCACCCAGCTGAGCTCAAGCATCTATTGCACAGCGCTGCCAATCCCTCAATGTACTTGCCAACCCATCCACTCCCTCTCCTTTTCCTTATCCTTGAAGTGAAGTATATTTTAGGCCCAGGTGCGGGAACTACTGTGAATCAAACCCATCCAGTCACTTCTTTGGAACTTTGATGACTCGAAACAAGAATTAAACAAAACTAGAAAATATTTTAAAAGCAATGTTTAATGAGTACACATTTATAAAAGCTATCAAAAGTGGGAAAATGGTACAAAAATAAAACTTTATAAAAATGTTCTTAGAATACAGAAACTATACCAGCAGAAAACAGTTTAACCTTTAAAATGCTGAACAGTTTAGATCTATAAAAGGAATATAGGTAACTGAAAGCACCTATTCTTATTGGTTCTAAACTCCTTTCCATCTTAAACGAACTGAAAAAGTCAGCTGTGTTAAGAGGGTCAAGTTGCTGGATGGAGGAGGGAGGCGTGTTGGAAAGTATGGAAGAACATTGGTTTTCTTTGGTCAGCTGGTTATACTTAGAGCTCTTGTGGTTGGAGTTTGACAACCAACCAAAAGTTAGGCCTGGCAATGCAGCTATTAGGCCCAAACCACCAGGGTACTCTTTAACTTCAGCCTTGATGAATGTCTTTCATTTATTTTATTTTATGTTTTTGAAGGCATGTGCATGAGAGATATTCGTGAGTTTTACCATGTTGTGGGCCTCCTGGCTAACTAGGATCACAGGCTAAGGTGACAGATGGCTTTCATTAGGTATACAGATAGAGCATCTCCACTAAGCTGTGACAGTAGAGTTTGTTCTTACTACACATAAGTATTTAACCTAGGAGTGACATGTTTTATTCTTAGTGATGTGCCATGACCAATGTAAACATATTACATTACTCTTTTATCAAAAAGGAGCATGGCTAACTCCAAAGACTTCTCTAAACCAGCCTGGATGGTATTTACATTTTAATTGACCAACTCTCTAGTGAAAGAGCAGATTCCAGGCCCAGCACACTTGACTGTGGTGCATAACAGGGATGAGTAGTGACATTTTTCCACTGAAGCTTTTCCAGCTTTCTTAATCCTTGCTTGGGTAGATCAAGGATAGATAAATAAGCATATGTTCTATGTGTCTTTATACCCTTTATAAGTAAATGAAACTTTAAGTAACAAAACAAAATCTACAGTGGTGTGATGAAACCAAAGCCTTAATTGAGTGCTACTAATATCATTAAAGTCACTTTAGAAATAACCTGGCAATATATAGAAAATGCTAGTGAAAGTTCTTAAATTTTGTAATCCTAATTTTTGGAAATAATTAAAATATAGAAAAATGTTGTTAGTGCAAAAGATATTCTCTGAAATGTTATTTGTTTTAGTATGAAATGGACACAGCCTATTATAGGACAGTGGTTAAATAAATGCCTATTTGATGTAATCATATGCAGCCAATAAATACATATACCATGTAAGAGAACAAAGCCTATAATATATCAAGTGAAAAACAAAGGATATCAAATTGAAAACACAGTATAGATGAAATTATTTATAAAAAGCTTTCTAGAAAGGTACCATAGAGTGTGAATGATGTTTTAATCATTTTGTATAAAGTCATGTATAATGTTATAATGAAAGTAGAAAAAAGAAAAGAAAGAAAAAAAATGGCCTTTACAGAGCAGGCAGAAAAATGTCAAAGCCAATGCCTTTTAGTTATTTCGGTAGGTGGGAAAGATGGTGCACAGGCTTCTTTTAGTTCCATGCTCGAGCTAGAAAGCTAATCCCATTGAAGGTCATCTTGACACTATCAGCACAGGAACATGGTGAGAAGCATGCTACTTCATAGCGACGATGTGAGAAAGAAACAAATCTCAAATAGCATCTTCTGCTCATACCTCTCTGCCCTGAGAATTTTCATCATTCTCTTTCATCTCTACATTGCTCAAATTATACCTTCAGATACCTTATTTAATTTTACTATGTAAAACCATAATAGACCATTGATGCTCGTTCCTCTACAAGTAATTTCTTAGATGACTAAAACTGAACAATATTTGAAAATTTACAAAACATGCAATACCTAAATACCAAGCCTAATATAATGCAACTTTATAATATGTATTTATTTACCTTGCTATTTAAAATTCTAGTTTCTTAGAACTTTTTTTGGTGCAAAGACTTTTCATCAATGCTTCCTTGCTTATTGGACACTGAGAAAAATCCAGATGGATATTCTTCCATTTTCACTCAGTCTTTCCTATATGTTCCTTATAAAGAAAGGATTTTATAACAACTTTGTAGATTTGCATGTATCCGAAGTTACCTCTAATCAATTGTGATGCTTTTGTGTTAAAACAGTTCCCCACAGTAGACATTCATATTGATAAGAGCAAAATCAAGGGGCACATTTAACTACAAAATTCACTATGGCAATGTTTATAATTGGCTTTACTTGCAAAAAACAAACAACAAATCTCATTTCTTTTACGTCATTTGACTTTCCTCTTCTGACATACCAAAAAATACTCATCGGCAGCCACAGTCATACTGTTTTCTCTTTTATGTAACTTAGTCCTTGAAACAGAGAAGGAAGTTGCATGTACTTCTCCTGGATTTTGCAAGACATTATGTCATGCATGTTGCCCACATCAAAGAAACTTCTTAGTGTGAACCCCACAAAATGAATCCCAATCTCAGTCCTGTGAACTCTGGGAAATGAAGGGGCAGCCACCTGTGTTTATTCATCACTAATCTGAGATAAAATAGTTTCTCTTCTCATCTGCCAGTTTCTCAAAGTCAGGCAACATTTTCTTCTGTGTTCATAAACTTCAGGGCATAGTGAGAGAAAAGGGTTTTCTCAACCGTGCATGTTCTTCTCTAAACATTCAATACTGTAGTTCATAAGTCTGAGTAAATGGAACTCTGCTTCAAATGTCTGACTTTGCATTCAGTGCTGATTTTGAGTGTTTTGAGTTCCTTTCCCAACCCTGGCGGATCCGTGTGAGGGTCTTGTCTATGCATGGCATAATGAGGATAAATTTGATTACCAGCACTGTGCAGGGAATGATGAGTGCTAATATGTAGGCTGCAGGAAGATACCATCTGAGAATTGAAGGGCTGAGGAACCTTTTCCCACCGTACACCAGGGTGTGGGCTGTGCACAAGATCAGGGTCAAATAACCCAGTTTGGACTAAAAGCAAAAACAAGAACATGTACATTAACAATTAACATTATGTGCATCTTAATGAACACTCAAACATTCTAGTCAGTGAGGGATAATTGTCAACCATTACAAATAATTGAAGCTTATAATATTTAGACACCTTGTTAAATACTGAAAAAAGGAAAAAAGGAAACATTAAACTTCCTTTGGGATAGTTAAAAAAAAATAAGAAAGTCTTTTTTTGGAGAGATTTTCACTATAGGGCGTGTGCGCTCGCCAGACAGACAGAGCGAGACATAAAGACAGAAAGTGAGAAATCACCCCTCCAGGGGGGATGGTCACGCTGCAATTCCTTCTTCTCCATTCTCTTCATTAAACTTCTCAGGTTTTTTTTTTTTTTTTTTTTTTTGTAGAGGTTTTCACTATAGGGCGCGTGCGCTCGCCAGACAGACAGAGCGAGACATAAAGACAGAAAGTGAGAAATCACCCCTCCAGGGGGGATGGTCACGCTGCAATTCCTTCTTCTCCATTCTCCTCTCAGGATCTTGGGCATGCACGCACATGCATGAGTTTTAAGCCACCAGGTCCAGGACGCGAACCGTGGTCGACTACGTGGGAGTCCAGCGACATAGCCATTACGCTAACTGCTGGTTCCGAAGACTTTCTTACAAATGATATGGTAGCTTCATCTTAATCTGGCTGTATCGGAAAAGTTCACCAGCAATAAACTCTTCCAAATTAGAATAAATAACATGTATATACACACACACACATACTTTGGTCCCCAGTGGCAAAAAATTTTTTTAATCATCTTTTTAGAGATCAGAGATTAATAAGACTCATTATGACCTCAAGAAGAACCCATTAGTATATATTACTGACTAAAGGCAGATGTCAGCTAATTTTTGTCACAGTAAAGAGCAATTACCAAATTGTACTTTGTTTTTTTTTTTTTTTGGAGAGATTTTCACTGTAGGGCACGTGCGCTCGCCAGACAGACAGAGAGAGACATAGAGACAGAAAGCAAGAAATCACCCCCCAGGGGGGATGGTCATGCCACAATCCCTTCTCCTCCATTCTCCTCTTGGGATCTTGGGCACACACGCACACGCGCCCGGCATGAGTTTTAAGCCACCGGGTCTGGGATGCGAACCGCGGTGGACTACGTGGGAGTCCAGCGACATAGCCATTATGCTAACTGCTGGTTCCCTTTTTTTTTTTCCAAATTGTACTTTGTTTTGATCTAAGTTCTTTTTCTTTTTTTTCTTTTATAAGAGAGATTTTTGCTATAAGGTGTGTGTGCTTGCTGGAGAGATAGAGGCAGAGAGACAGAAAGCGAGAAATCACCTTCCCAGGGGGGATGGCGATGCTGTAATCCCCTCTCCTCCAGTCTCCTCTTGGGAGTTTGGGCACACACACATACACGCCCAGCATGGGTTTTAAGCCACTGGGTCCAGGACATGAACTGAGGTTGACTATGTGGAGTCCAGCAACATAACTATTATGCCATCTGCTGGTCCCATGGTCTAAATTCTAGAACTTAATGTTTATATCTGTCTTAATGCCTAAAATAAGGTGTTACCATCAAAGAATTTTGACTGCATTTGATCCCCTGGAGAAAATGCAAAACTTGAAATTCTAATAGTTTTGTAAAATTCAAACCTAATTGCAATTACTAATGGTCTATCCTGTTATACTGGTTGTCAGCAAGCATGCATCACAATCATCTGGAGGGCTTGTTAAGACAAATTACAGAGCCACACTTCCACAGTTTCTGATTCAGTAGTTCTGGGAATGGCCCAGGGCTTTGCGTAGCTAAGTTCCCAGGTGATGCTGCTGGTCTTAGTAACACACTTTGAGAACCACAGGTCTGTTAGAATAGTTAGTCTTTAATGAGGTGTCTGGTGGTTGATTGTGGAGAAAACAATTTTCCTTATGATGGACCTACGTTAAGTATGGTGTGATGACACCCATCAATCTTGCTTCTAAGATTTAAACTTTATTTTCTACCTCTTTATTTTCTACCTCTATCAGTATGTGTTTCTTTCACCTCGCACCTAGTATATCTCTGCAGGTATTTAATAGTTCTTGGTGCTTTTCATTCTATAGTATTAGCCGTGGCTCTGGGAGTCGTTAAGAATCTTGGCAAGGGATACCCTATGAGGAAATGGAACCATTATAGAATTTGCTGGTTTACACCGATGTTCCATGTTTTCTATTTTAAAATTTTTAATGAGATTGTCAAGGAAGTGATGGAGCAAAATGAAAAAAATTAGGCATGATATGACAGAAAAATGAAAATGTTTGTAAAGTTGTACTCATTTTGTAATATAAAGAAGATTAAATCTTACCTGGATGAATCGAAACTCTCTCCAGTTGACCGTATTGCTAACTGATGGTAAGGAAGTGATTCCCAAGAGTACAAACAGAAAAAATCCGAGGATTCCCAAAGCCACATATGAATCACTGAGCCAGGCTGAAGACGTACTAAATGGATCTTCTTTCTTGAGTATTGCCTAATAAAAAGTATAATCAATTTTAAAAGGCTACATTTTAAAAATAAATTGTCCACTTATTATTTTTTATTTAAGATTTTTGCCATAGGGTGGGTGTGCTCATGGGAAAGAGAGAGAAAGAGACACAGAGGGAAAATGAGAAATCACCCCCCTCTCCCCCGAAGAGATGGCCATGCAGCATTCTCTTCTCTATTATTCTTCTGGGATTTTGGCCACACATGCTCACATGCTGGCATGATTTTCAAGCTGCCAGGTCTGTGACTTGAACCATTGTGGGCCATATGGGAGTCCATTGCTTTCACCACTACTCTACCTGCTGGTCCCATAAACTGCCCACTTTTAAGGGGATTGAAAAAAACCTTTGCATGGGTTATTGGTGCAAAGAAAGTTGTGTGAATAATGTAGGTAAAAATACATTTAGAAATGATTTTTTTTTTGTAGAAAAAATGAAAGCTAATTGGTTCTACTGGAACTTTATTGTAATACTTGACTGCAGGAGTTGTGTAGGACATTTTAATTTACCCTATAAATCCTGAAACAAAGTAAACATTTACTTAAACCTTCTTTACCATATGGCTTTTTGGTCCCCAAGCAAAACTTGATGTTCTCAAATGGTTACATTGGAATTCTGTTTATTCTGCTTTAGATGCTAATTATTCACACCCACAGAGTTTGGGTTTTTTCATGGTTCTGTGTTTTAGAAGAGCTTCAAATCTGTCTCATCACAGGTTGAGATGAATCTAACCCTTGTAGTGTGACTCTTATGTAACAAACTTTCATGTATTTGTTAGGGAAATAATGTACAGAAACCCAAAATGCATCATCAATGAGTTATTGACTAATGATCTTTGAGGCTCCAGTAAGATTGAGCAAAACCAGTTATTTCTAAACTGGAACAGACTTAGAGCACTGCCTCTGGAACTACTGTAAGACTCCTTGAGCTGATTATCTCTTAAATCTTTTGATTGTGCCTAAGATTGTATTTGATATCTGCTAAGAACTATTTAGTTTTTTAGACAATGAGGACAACTTCCTGCCCTCTCCACGAATTTGTGCCACTGCTATGGCACCTGTTTGGGCTGTCCTCTTCCTTTCAAAAGCAAGTAGCATGCATAAAAACAGAAGCTTGAGACACATTGGTTTACTTTTACCAACTGCCACCCAAAGAAATTTAAGTAGGTATCCTTAAGTTTCCTGAGTCCCTAAATCTATCATTTGTCAGTATCCTAGTGAGCCCTGGGAATACAGATCTGGAGATCAAACTTTTATTCACAATAGTTATATGAGCTCTCAACTGGATTCATAAGACAAACAATAGCATCAATAATAATAATTTTAAAAAACCAGACATGATTTCTTTTTTTTTTAGAGAGGTTTTTGCTATAGGGCCCATGCACTCACTAGAAAGACAGAGAGACAGAAAGCGAGAAATCACCCCCCCACCTCCCACCCGGGGGGGACGGCCACGCCACAATCTCTTCTCCTCCATTCTCTCGGGATCTTGGGCATGCATGCACATGCACCCAGTGTGAGTTTTAAGCCACCGGGTCTGGGACGCAAACCGCGGTTGACTACAAGGGAGTCCAGCAACATAGCCATTAGGCTAACTGCTGGTCCCAAGACATGATATTTTTAACTCTGATTACTTTTAAGAAATAAAGATGCTGGGGCCAGCAGGTGATGTGATTAAAGTGCTGGACTCTCATACGACTAACCATGGTTTGAGTCCTGAACTCTTGCTTTCTTGCTTTCCCCCCTCCCCTCCCCATCTCTGTCCTTTCTGGTGAGCATACCTGTCTTGTAGCAAATTAAAAAGAAAGAAAAAAGATAAATAAGATTAAAAATATTTTAAAAAATGCTTAGAAGAGTGACTTTTCTGTAATTGTGAAATGCAAAATGATACAGCAAAATTTCTCTTTGATTTAAGGACTAGGGAAATTCAAATGAGTAAGCTTTACCTGGGTAACGGTCAGGTTTCTTATCCTCCATCGTACATAAAAACGAATAGGAATCACCAGTGCGTAGAGGACATGAAGGCAGGCAAATCCCAGAGCCATCAAGCCAAGCTGTTTTCTGCAAAGCATCCAATGATCAAGCCAGTCTGGGAATCGGCGGTATTTTGTACCTCGGTACAGCTGCAGAATGGCAGCAATAACACCAGGTAGGTAGACCAAAGCCAGCAGTGTAAGCGCTGTTATTGGAAAGACACGATTCGGGATGGAAATAGCCAGGCGAAATGTACTATCTTCATTTTTGTTAACATAAGGATAGATTACGTCTCTTATGACACAGTAGAGAAAGAAGAAGATACACAGGGCTGCAGACAAATAGAAGGGAAACCTCCACATGGGAAATAATTGTAGGGGGTAGTTTTCTATTTCACTGGCTGCCATGAGCGATCCTTTATCCAAGGGAGTAAGTCCAAGGCCACGAACAATATCCATCACTCTTTGCTTGGCTTTTCTGTCATTTCCGCAGACAAACACCTGGGTTATAAACAATTCTGTATTTACTTTTTTCCTTTATGAAATAGTTATTTTGTAAGTCTATATAAGCATCATGCATAACAATGACGTGTAGGTAGTGAACTGTTTTTCAAACAAGGATGTAGAATAACCATGTCTAACAAGATGACATTTTAAACTTGCACGTGTGTGCTGTATAGTTTCAATCAGTGTTTTAGTTGCAGGTAGTTTTAGGCACATCGCATTGATATAAGACTAGGCTCTTGGGAACCAGCAGTTAGCGTAATGGCTATGTCACTGGACTCCCACGTAGTCGACCGTGGTTCGCGTCCTGGACCCGGTGGCTTAAAACTCACACCGGGTGCGTGTGTGTGCGTGCCCAAGATCCCGAGAGGAGAATGGAGGAGAAGGGATTGCGGCGTGACCATCCTCCCTGGGGGTTGATTTCTCGCTTTCTGTCTCTCTGTCTCTCTCTGTCTGTCTGGCGAGCGCACGTGCCCTATTGCGAAAACCTCTCCAAAAAAAGAAAAAAAAAAAAAAGACTAGGCTCTTTACAGTAAGGGAAGTTTGATCTTCTGTATTTGGGGTACCGTGCACCTATGATTGCTTCTAATCAAATCAGTTTCATACAAGGTAATAGGAGTAGAAAAGGATATTCATGCTGTATTAATTTGCAGTACCGACAAGGGGATTCTAGAGACCGACACTATTAGATTCCATCAAACTAAAAACCAAGGGTGCAGACAGTGGAAAATGAATCACAACTGATTATTTTACTTATTTAAAGCCCCCCAAATTATTCATGGAACAAATTAGCAAGATGAAATATTTAGTGGGTAGTTTATTTTGGAATCTGAAGCTAAGTGCACATTGAAATATTCACTTTTTTAAAAAGATTATTTTATTTAACTTTATTTACTCTTTTAAAAAATTTTTTTGGAGAGGTTTTTGCTATACGGCATGTGCACTCACCAGAATGACAGAGAGACAGAAAGCGAGAAATCACCCCCCAGCAGGGATGACCAGCTGCAATCCCTTCTTCTCCTTTCTCCTCTTGGGATCTTGAGCATGTGCACACATGTACCCAGTTTGTTTAAGCCACCAGATCCGGGACTTGAACTGTGGTCGACTACATGGGAATCCAGCAACGTAGCCATTACGCCATCTGCTGGTCCCGTTATTTACTTATTTTTTAATTTGACCAGAGAGGGACAGAGAGAGAAAGGGAGAGGGAGAACGTGAGAAAGCAAGCCACCAGGTCCTGGACTTGAACCATGGTCGGCCATATGGAAGCCCAGTGCCCCTAACCATCATGCCACCTGCCAGCCCCAAAATATTCACCTTTTAAAGATTGACTGCAATTTCTTTTTCATCTTACCTGCCGACTTGCATCCAGGGCTCCTGACTGGAGAGCCCAGGCTGATATGGTGTTAAAAGCTTTTACCACGTGGGCTCCTGGTACCAGCTGAGCAAGGTACTCTGCGTTGGATTCTGGATACTGATTGACTTTGCGGTTGTTGCTGACGTCTACTAATATTTTTCCATGAAGAACCTCAGTTAGTTCTGTGAGAAAATTATAATGCTCTCTGTGGACTGTTATGATTATGATGTCAGACTTCTGGGCAGCTTCTGAATAGCTCAAGACATCTGCGCCATTGGGCAGCAGGCTGGACATCCGGGGGGTTCGGCTTCCAAAAACGATAGAATAACCACACTGCAGCATTTTAAATCCCAGCGATCTTCCAAAATCTCCAGTTCCAAAAATACATATTGTCTCTTTCCTTTCCAAAGAATCCATTGTAATGGGAAATGCATCTGTACGGGTTTTCTCCATAACTGAAAAATAACACAGATAGCCAATGAAATATGAATGCTCTAGGTATGAAAAACTGATGAGGATTATTGTTAGGAAATAGTATAATTGATTGGTATTCTAATCTTCTAATGATTTCAAGTATATTACAAAATTCAGGAGTAAATATGATTACATATGTTCTCATATGTGTCTTAATAAAATCTTAAGTGAAAACTTCTTTGGGTTAAGAGGTGCAATGAAAAGCCAACGAACACACTTACTGGTGGATTTTTTTTTTTTTTAAGAGTTTTTGCCTTAGGGTGCAAGCACTCACTGGAAAGAAAAAGAGAGGCAGACACAGTGAGAGGGAAAGTGAGAAATCGCCTACCAGAGGGAATGGCCATGCTGCAATCCCTTCCATTCCATTCTCCCTAGGATCTTATGCATGTACACACACGCACCCAAAATGATTTTCTTTTTTTAATTTTATTTTTATTCTCTTTATTTTTTTCCAAACACTTGATTACTATACATCCTTTGGTTTGTAAAGAGAATTTACCCAACATGAAATATATCTCAGAGCAGTCCAGTTGAGAATACTATACATGTTATCATCCACAGGTAATCAACCATTTCTGTGTCCCATAAATGTCTTGCCTCTCTCTGTTTTTCCTCCCTGATTTTCTTCCCTATAGTCTTCCTTTCTCTCACCCTCCTTCCACCCTGTCTCTAGTGTGGCATGATTTTCAAGTCACCGTGTCCAGGACTTGAATTGCAGTTGGCCATGTAGGAGTCCAGCGATGTAATCACTATACCATCTGCTGATTGCATTGGTAGATGTTTTAAACTATGGATATATATTGCAATGATACTATAGTTATCTAACATCTATAGTTCCAAAAGTTCTCAGAGCAAAATATGACAAATTATAGTCCAATTTGCTTTCTTCTGTATTTATGGGTGCCATATCATCCCATATCATGGGTGCCTATGGTTGCTTCTTTTTTTCCTAAAAAAATCCTAAATAAAATATTAGCAAACTAAATCCAACTGCTTAAGAGAAAGTACATGTTGGTCTAATGGGGATTATTGTAAGAATATAAAGATTAAGGAACAGCAGTTGGCATAATGGCTATGTCACTGGACTCCCATGTAGTCAACTGCGGTTTGAGTCCTGGACCTGGTGACTTAAACTCACACCAGGTGCATGTGCATGTGTGCCCAAGATCCTGAGAGGAAAATAGAGGAGAAGAGATTGAGGCATCGCCATCCCCACTGAGGGGTGATTTCCTACTTTTTGTCTCTCTGTCTCTCTCTGTCTTTCTGGCAAATGCACACACCCTATATTAAAAAAAAAAAGAATATAAAGATTAGTTCTACAATTTCAGTATTTAAGAAACCTATTAATGAGACCAGTAGATGGTATAATGGTTACATTGCTGGACTCCCACGTAGTCTTTCATAGTTTGAGTCCCAGACCCAGTGGCTTAAACCTCATGCCTGGCACATGCGTGTGCGAGCCCAAGATCCCAAGAGGAGAATGTAGGAGAAGGGACTGTGGCATGGACATCCCCCCATGGAGGGGAGTGATTTCTTGCTTTCTATCTCTCTGTCTCTCTGGTGAGTGCATGTGCCCTATAGCAAAAATCTCTCTCTCTCTCTCTCTCAAAAACAAACAAACAAAAAAACTAAAAAAAAAAAAAACCCGCTAATATAAGTTACCAAATTAGAAGATTTAAGGAGAAAAAAATATGGCCATATTTATGCATGTTAATGGGCAAATGTTAAAATTCAACACTTATTCTCTATTCATAGAAAAGAGGAACAGAATGATACTCTTTATATGTTAAAGAAATATCTATCTCAACCTAATCCAGTATTATGCTTAAAAGAGAATTACTAGAAACACTCCCAAGTCAGAAGCCAGACAAATTTATCAGCTATAACCACTATAATTATTGTTCTGGAAATCTAGCTAATATAGCTAGACTGTTATAGAAATTCAAAAGGAGTTCCAGATGATTAAATTTTAGAGTTAGAAAACTCAAAAGTCAAAAGGAAAATACCATACATATAAAAGACAATTCAACATCTTATACAGCAACCCAGTTAAATCAAAATTTCCATACATATATATATATATTTAAATTAGAAGAGATAATAAAAGAAGGACCCTATTCATACCTGCAACAAAATAGAGACAATATGTAACAAGATAACAAGATATGTGTGAAAACTACATGAAGAAAATTAGGGGCCAGCAGGTGGCGGTGTGCTTATGGTGGCTGGACTCCCACATGGCTAATGGCAGTTTGAGTCCCAGACCTGGCAGCTTGCCCTCTGTTTCCTTCTCTCTCTCTCTCTGGTCAATTTCAAAATAAATAAATAAATAAATAAGTAAGTAAAAGAATGACAATGAATAGGATTAAATAAAAATAAACAAAAACCTACTTTAAGAAAATTTTGGACTGTTCCTAAAAATACATATGATAATGTACAGTATGTTCTTAGATGGAAAGGCTCCCAAATTTAATCTATAAACTCTAAAAAGTTGGGTAATAAATGGAAGGCTAGTCCTATTATATATTAAAAATATTATAAAGCTAAAATATTAAATAACATGGTGCTGTCAAAGGAATAGAAAAAGTGATGGAATAGAGTAAAATGTTGGGTTGTCAGAAAAGTCATAATGTATTTTTTTCTTTCTTACAGAGATTTTTGCTATAGGGAGTGTGCAACTCTCCAGAGAGACAGAAAGCAAGATATTCCCTCCCCGCCCACCCAGGGAAGATGGCCACACCACAATCCCTTCCTCTCCATTCTCCTCTTAAAATATTGGGCATGCGTGCACACAGACCTGGCATGAGTTTTAAGCTGCAGTCAACTATGTGGGAGTCTAGGTATGTAGCCATTTTGCCATCTGCTGGTCTATTTTTTTTAATGAAAAAATGCATCATGACTTTTCTGGCAACCCAATAAAAATTCAGAAATGGACCCAAACATATGTGATAAATGTGGCACCTAGACGCAACAAGAAAAAAAATTATTATTCAATAGTTAATACTGGGACAACTCAATAACCAATAGGAAGAAAAAATTAAATCATTGCCTCAGATCCACCCAAAGATAAATTCAAAATTTATTGAAGATTTGAACTTTAAAAACAAAATGGAGCCATCTTAGAACTAGAAGCAACCATAGAAAATTCTTTTATAATTTTAGAGGAGAAAAGTTCTTTTTCTACATCATTTAACCACTAATGAATATATGGATAAATGTGATTACATAAAAATAAATAATTCCTGTAAAGCAAAAATTCTGTAAGCAAAGCCAGAAGATAATAAACAAACTGGGAAAAATATTTTTACCTCACATAAATTAGTAAGGAAAAAACCAACTGCCCAGTAGAAAATTGGGCAAAGGATATGTGCTAACAGTTGATTTTAAGAAAATAGGAAAGACTTTTAAACATAGTAAAAGATTCTCAGTCTTACCCAAAACAAACGAAATGCAAGTTAAAACTAAATTGATACTATTATAACTCATGTGACTATTAATTTTTAAAGTGAGTATAATTTAAATAAAAAACAAACCCAAGTTACTATCATCTAATCCAATAATTTAGGTTACTCTCCGTACTTTTGAGGAATATTATTTCCTCTTTCAGCATTGAACGTTTATAAAAACTCTTGTTAACATTTAGTTTTATAGTTGACCTGTATGTGCATGTATATATGTGTGTGTGTTTCTATTGTTTGATGATGTATCTTCAGTACAGAAAAGAGCACTGACTACAACAGATGAGGTATTTTATAGGTATTTGTTGAGTAACATTAGAAGGATAGAATGTAGGAGTTGAAAGTCACAGTGTTGGGACCAGCAGTTAGCATAATGGCTATGTCACTGGACTCCCATGTAGTCAGCCGGGGTTCGAGTCCCGGACCCGGTGGCTTAAACTCATGTGGAGTGCATATGCGTGCGTGCCCAAGATCCTGAGAGGAGAATGGAGGAGAAGGGATTGCGGCGTGGCCATCCCACCTGGGGGGTGATTTCTTGCTTTCTATCTCTCTGTCTCTCTGGTGAGTGCATGTGCCCTATAGCAAAACCCTCCCCTTCCTCCCCCCCTCCAAAAAAAAAGAGAAAGTCACAATGTTTACTCTGTGTCCAAGGCACAGAGTGAGCTCATAAAGAGGAGGCTGAATGATTAAAGAGTAGCCACTGGAGAAGAGTAAGGAGAAGGTAGAAAGTGGGGGAATATTTTTATAAAGAAATGACTTCAATTTCCCAAATAGGTGACAAGTAAAATAAATTTTGATGTGAAATTTTCAAACCAGACATAATTACTATTCAGTTCGTACATAGTGGATTTCATGTAGATTGTAAGATATGTATGAAGTTGGCACTTATTTACTGGAGTTTCAGAAATGTTCCTTGCTGTTTTAGAGTTTGAAAAACACGCTTATTCTTTTTCTTTTTAAGAATTTTTGTTTACTTTTATTCATTATTAAATAATAACAATTTTGGGAACCAGCAGTTAGCGTAATGGCTATGTTGCTGGACTCCCACGTAGTCTACTGCGGTTCGTGTCCCGGACCCGGTGGCTTAAAACTCATGCCGGGTGCATGTGCGTGCGTGCCCAAGATCTCGAGAGGAGAATGGAGGAGAAGGGATTGCGGTGTGACCATCCCCCCTGGGGGGTGATTTCTCGCTTTCTGTCTCTCTGTCTCTCTCTGTCTATCTGACGAGCGCACGCACCCTACAGTGAAAATCTCTCCAAAAAAATAAAAAATAAAAAATAAAAAAAAATAACAATTTTAAAAATTTGTGATAGGGTATGTGTGCTCACCAGAGAGAGAAACAGAGAAAGTGAGGAAGCAAGCCCCCAGGTCTGGGACTCAAATCACTGTCAGCTATGTGGAAATCTAGTGCTTTAACCACCATGCTACCTGCAGGCCCCTCTTTTTTTTTTTTTTTTTTTTTTTTTTTTTTTTAGGTTTTTGCCACAATGCTCAGTGAACCAGAGAGAGACAGGAAAAGTGAG